AAAGTTCAAATGAAGCAGAACTCTCTGAACACCATTGACATAAACTCAGTTTCTGGAAACGTGCTTCGTCTAACTTTGCTTTCTGCTATGTTGGATGTTTCCTAATAATCCCAAAGTAAACCAAATTCTCAATTTCATCAGCTTTGTTAGCCTTTTTGGTTTTCTTTCATCCCAGAATTATGTTCCTCTGAAGGTCTTTTAACTATACCTCTCATTGTCTCCACAAATATCACTTTGTGGTTGCATTTGGAGAAAGACTGTCATTATTCCCCTTTTGGAGCTGGGATTTCCTAATAAACTGGGGACATTTTAGAATGACAATAAATGAATGGTGAAAAGTTAGTAACATTTCTGAGTACAGATAAGAAGAGAATATAAAATCTTTCTAGGGTCACAGCTGTAGTATCTGTCCCCTGCTTCACCTCAACTTGCAGAAAGAGGCTTTCCCAGAGTACTAGCACAGGTGTAAGGATATTTGAATATGCTAGAAAAATAAGATTACGATAATATTTAGTTGGGTTACCAAGCAGTTTAAAGGGAGTACTATTTGAAAGGGGGAAAGCATGATTTAAATTACATTAAATTTCTTAATAATTAATAATCAAAGTGGGGAAAAGTCATTTTATAAATGTTTTCTGAATTATTCTATTAGTACTTGACATTTTTGCTTTTAGTCTTTCATTCACTTAATTTAAAAATACACTAAATCTGATTTTACTCTTTGTTATTAAAATATAATGAAAAAAACCTAGAATTTTTAAATGTCATTAATTGCTACTAATGGTATACAAAACCCCTTTTGAGGATAGCTTTTCTCCACCAGTTTCCTCTGATTCTCCTTAAAATATTTGAAGAGTTAGAGTAAAAACAGATTTTTTAACATATAAAGAATGTTATAACTTGACACTCCTTGGGTATGTGCTGCAACTTATATACTGAAGGAGATTTTTTACCTAAGTGTTCCATGTATCAAATGCAAAGTATTTAAGCATCTTAAATAGGGCTTTTGTCTTGGAGTCATCTAGTGCTATTTTTCCAAAAAGTCTCCATGGTTTCCAGGAAATACTTAAACCTACATTAATACAATATTTTTGGATTTTTAATTTTTAAAAATTAATTTATTTTAATTGACAAAACTTTTATATATTTATCATGTACAACATGCTGTTTTCAAATATATATATATATATACATTGTGGAATGGCTAAATCAAGCCAATTAACGTATGCATTATCTCCCATACTTAATCATTTCTTTGTGGTGAGAACACTTAAAATCTACTCTGTCAGCAATTTTCAAGAATACAATATATTGTTAAGTGAAAAAAAAGGTATCTACTATGATGTCAATTTTATTTAAAGATTCTACCTACCTATCTATCTATCTTTTTAAAAAGAATAAAAAAGTAGAAGGATAGTCATTGAAATGTGAATAGTGGTTATCTCCAGATATGATTCTAAGCAATTTTTCATTTATATTTTATGTGTTTATTAGGTAACCCAAATGTCTTCCAATCTTCTGGAGTCACTTATTCTTGTTACAACCAAATGTCATGAACTTCTACCCCAAGTAACAGTAGGATCTATTCTCTTTACTCAGCCCTTCTTTTCCAAGGTAACCTTCTTCTTATAAGCCTGTTTATGAATAAGTTCAAGCTACAGTCAGTTCTGTCAGTCTCTGGGTTCAACTCCTGCAGCTTCTGTCTTCTTTCAATACCTCTGCCCCACATATGGCCCCTATCCCTCTGCTTACATGTCCTCATACTACCACAAATACAAGGTTAGCATGTGGTAAGCAACTTTGAGTAAAGCTTTGGGGAGAAAGTAGACATACTTCCACACAACACCAATAGGAAACAATTTAAAACTGAATATTGACCTCTTAAATAGAAACTTTTATTGGCTTTTTTTGCACCCTACGTCTCACCCTACTACTATTTTGCCAGGTTGTGCTCCTCAAGCCAAGAGCTCTTCCCTTCTCTTCCATTTAGCCCCTCTTTTCCTAGTTCCTGGGATCCTCAGTGTCTTTCTTCAGACTGCTTTCTAAAAAAAAATAAAAATAAAATACAATACAGGTTCTCCATTTTATATGCAAAGAAATGTCATTCTCAGCCTCCATCCCAGACTAGGTTGTAGATCCATCTTGCCTTTTATAAAAGGTTACAGTTAGGGAACTTTTCTAAATTAAAAAACAAACAAACATTTATCCCTGATTTGCATGCTTAGCGAAGCAAAAAGACAACATAAGCAAAAACATGGATATCTGGAAAGGAAGAAAATTTAAATTATTGGGTATGCTCCTTTCCAATTACAGGAAATGCTAGAGGTAATTTTTGTCTGCTTGTCATAGATATTTTCCAAATTTTCTGCAGTGAGCAAGTATTCTTTAATAAATATTATTTTAAAAGTAAGTGTTGCTTATTGATGAATGTCTCCAAAGCACTTAAAGTTTTTATTTCATAAAAAAACCCATTTGTCAGCTCTGTTCCAGTCTGGTTCCTTGCCTTAAGTTCCCCTTCCTTGAGGGGGGAAGGGGAACTTCTCCCCTTTCTTGTGTTTCCCCCCTTTCTTCCTTCCTTCCTGTTCTCATCTTATAGGAGGTAAAAAAGGCAGGTGAACTTAAAAGGAAGAGGCAAAAAAAAAATAAACATTGGCTCTCAGGTATAGAGAGATTCCCACAAATTTAAACTCTGCTTGCTATAGATGAAAATTATACAAATGCCTTTTCTTAATTGTGAGTATTCATTTAGATAAAACCAAGCTGGAGTCAGAATTCAGAATACTGGATTTGACTTAGCATCTTCAGAAAAGGGGATCTTATTTATTGCAGTAATTATAGTTTAAATGCATGAACATATCCATATTTTTAAATCTATGAGGTATGGATTTATATGCTATATTAATTCAAAACATTTTGGAAGAGTGAACGGTGAATGTACATTTTGAACTTTTATAAATAGAATTTGGCAGGTCTTGGCTTATAAAACTCATTACTTAGACTAGATCTTTAATAAAATAGTATCTTAAGATTAAAATTAGATTTTTAGAAATTTTGTGATAATATATGGAAAGGAAGAAAACCTCAAATTCGAATGATGTACACTTTTATGAAATATAAATAAGTTTACAATATTTATCATTTAGATTTTTGGTTTCTAAACTGGAAAAAACTGCCACCTTGTGGCAAAGATTGACTACTAAAGCTTTTCTTTATTCTAAAAACTGGTTTTTCCTGGATGATCTACAAGTTACAGTAGATTTTTGAATGGTGGATGAAGGTAGTCTCATTCTGAGTTTCCAAGATGGGATAAGTTATGCTAATAAATAACTTTAAGCAAAAATATATATTTTGTGTGTGTTCCCTTAAAAACACAATTGCATAATGTTCAAACATAATATTCTTGAAAAAAAACCAAGAAAACAAGTACCCAAATGGCCGTCAACTGGTGTAAAGGCTGAGCCAAAATGCAAAAGAAACTTGTTCAAGAACAGTAAATTGCATTTTTCTAATTTTACTCCTTAAAAGCATCAACCAGACGCCTAACACTTGCCTCCTCCTCTAATAAAGCAAAAAACAAACTTTATCTATCCCCACAATAAATTATGCAAACTGTTTGATTTTGTAAAGCAAACAGCAAAATTACTTCACCTCTTTCCTGGCATTTCAGAAAAAAAAAAACACAAAATAACTGGGTTTTCCTTATTTTGGCTGGATTTTTAGCTGTGTGAGCTAAGTCAAGTTACTTAATCTCTCTGAACATCAGTTTCTTCACCTGCAGAATGGAGACAATAATATAACCTACCACATTGGATTGTTGTGGGGATTAAGTGAGTTAATACCAGCAAAGTGTTGCTTAGAACTGTGCCTGACACCACAAGAAGTGTTCATTAAATTTTAGCTCTCACTTATATTACAAGATGGAAAAAGAACAGCAATGTACTTACATATAATTTGTATTAGGCTTGGCATAGTTCTTCAATTTGACTTGATTTTACATCATGCTAAGAAGATGGTCTCTCTACCTACCATTTATAGCTGGCACAGGTCTAACAGTGATTAGGCTCTCAAGTTTAATTTGAACCCTTCCATCTATGGAATGGGCTTTGGACCCCATCCCTAATCTGCCATTTACTACACTTTGAGAATGTGGTTACTCTTTCTAAGTTCCAGTTTATTGATAAAATAGGGAACAATAGTACATACATCATAGAGTTGCTTTGATGATTAAATGAAACAGTGCATATATAAAGCCCTTAGCACAGTGTAAGACTTACAACAGCCTCAACCAAGTTTCTTAGGTATATTTAAAAAATAAAAGATACTCCATCTAAGACAATATCAGCACCAGTTACATAATGAACAATGGTGAAGAAATGGGCCATTAGATAAAATGATGGGGAAAGAATTCTGTGGAGTGGAGGGGTAAAAGGACAACATGCCTGACTTCACATGTGGAGATAGAGAATGAGAAGAATATGTGTACGAGGCAGGACAGGGAAATGGTAAAAAAACAAACAAACAAAAAACCTGAAAAGGAAGTCAGATATCTCGGTATGAATAAAGGCTTTCTGCTAACTGTTATGAGTCCTTGGGTAGATTACCAACCCTTTTCAGTCAGTTTCCTCCGTATTGGGGATAATAGGGTTGCTATGGGATTGAATGAGAAAACAAAGTGCTTCCCACTGAGCCTAGGTCATAAAAAAACTCAATGAACAGTAGCTGTAGCCTATTATTAATTATTTTAAAGAAATATTTTCGTGGGAGGGGGAGGAGAGGATGGGTAAATCCACACCTAACGGATGTGGTGTGCACTGTCTGGGGGATGGGCACACTTGTCAGGCGGTGCAAAGGCAATTTATGTAACAAAAGCGTTTACAGTCTCGTAATACTCTGAAATAAAAAAAAACTTAAAAAATAAATACTTCCTGCGTTTGGACTTGAACACCTAATAGGAACAATCCTTTTAAGCATTCTAGTTTCTAATGTAAGTGAAAATCAGGACAAGAATAGGAAGTGAATTATTTGAGGACTGGGACACGGGAAAAGGAGGAGAATTGGGGCAAGTGTTTTCTAATTGGTTGGTTAAAACAGCAGGGACTCTTTGGAGTACCAAGCATAATTTCTGAGACTCATTTCCAAGCCTCTTATTTCACTCTTTTAAGCTCTTAGGAGGAAATAAAGTGGTCAAATAGACCCTGCCTCTCCCCTCCCTCACCACACGGGGGAGCACCTAGCCATGTAGATACCGGCATTGTGACTTCGGCACTATGACGCAATGACCATGCAAGGGGGATAAGGTGGCTCCACTCCTCCAGGGTCATTTTCTTCTTCCCCTGACTCCGGCCTGTTGGCAAGGAAAGGCCAGATGACAACGTGAAACCCAAAGAAGGCTGCGGCTGTGATCGCTGGTGAAGTCAACTCCAGCAAATTCGAGGCATCAATAACCGTCTTGAGGTAGCCCTTTCTTTTTCCAATTTCCAACTCGATAGAGGGATATCTTAAAGTGCGAATCAAACTGAGAAAAACTGGGAATAGCTGACAGCCTTTCACCACAAAACTTTACTTAAGGGATCCTGTTCCATCAAGACACTTAATCATTAACCAATCATTCATCTGCCAATCCATCATCTGCCAATCAGTCCTCGGCCAAATAGTCATAAATTAACCAGTCCTCAGCCAACCCATCCTCAACTAACCAGCAACGAATCAACTGGGCATGAGCCAATCAGACATGAACCAATCAAGTTTACCAGACATGAATGAAACAGGTACAAAACAGCCAAGCATAAGCTTAATTGGTATGAACCAACTGGACACGAACCAACCGAGCACAAGCCTACGTGACATGAACTACCTGGGCATAAACCAACAGGACATGAGTGAACCACCCATGAGGCAACCAGGCACAAGCCTGCTAGGCATAAATCAACCTGATGTGAAACAACTAGGCACACGGCAATCAGGCACAAGCCTCCCAGACATAAACCAACCCGGAATGAAACAACCAGGCACATGGCAACTAGGTACGAGCCCATCAGAAATATCCCAACCAGGCCTGAGCCAGCCAGGCATACGGGAACCAGGACTGAGCCAACCAGTCGTGAGCCACCCAGGCATGAACCAACTAGACCTGGGCCAACCAGCCATGCGGCAGCCAGGCATGAGCCAACCAGTCCTGAGCCACCCAGACATGTGGCAAACAGGCCCAAGGCAACCAGGTACTGACTCATCAAGTACAAGTCAATCAATCAAGAGTCAGCTATACACAATCCAATCAGATACAAATCTAGCAGGCACTACACAACTAGGCTTGAACAAATCAAATACGAGTCAACCAGACATGAGTCAAGTAGGTAGGAGCCAACCAGGCATGTGGCAACCAGGCATGAGCTACCCAGGCATGTGGCAACCAGGCCTGAACCAACCAGTCCTGAACCACCCAGGCATGTGGCAATCAGGCATGAGTCAACCAGTCCTGGGCCACCCGGGCATGTGGCAACCAGTCCTGGGCTACCCGGGCATGTGGCAACCAGGCATGGTTCACCCAGGCATGTGGCAGCCAGGCATGGACCACCCAGGCATGTGGCAAACAGGCCCAAGGCAACCAGGTACCAGCTCATCAAGTACGAGTCAATCAAGCATAAGTCAGCTATACACAAGCCAATCAGATACAACTGTATCAGGCACTACACAACTAGGCTTGAGCCAATCAAATACCAGTCAATTAGGTAGGAGCCAACCAGGCATGAGCCAGCCAGGCATGTGGCAACCAGGCATGAGCCACCCAGGCATGTGGCAACCAGGCATGAGTCAACCAGTCCTGGGCCACCCAGGCATGTGGCAACCAGTCCTGGGCCACCCGGGCATGTGGCAACCAGTCTTGGGCCATCCGGGCATGTGGCAGCCAGGCATGGACCACCCAGGCATGTGGCAAACAGGCCCAAAGCAACCAAGTAGCAGCTCATCAAGTACGAGTCAATCAAGCATGAGTCAGCTATACACGAGCCAATCAGATACAACTGTATCAGGCACTACACAACTAGGCTTGAGCCAATCAAATATGAGTCAACTAGGTAGGAGCCAACCAGGCATGAGCCAGCCAGGCATGAGCCAGCCAGGCATGTGGCAACCAGTACTGGGCCACCCAGGCATGTGGCAACCAGGCCTGAGCTACCCAGGCATGTGGCAACCATTCCTGGGCCAACCAGGCATGTGGCAGCCAGGTCCAGGTTACCCAGACCTGAACCAATTAGGCCTGAGTCAACCAAAGCTAATCCAACTAGGCGAGAGCCAATCACGCGCTAGTGAATCAAGCATGAATTTTCTGCAAGTAAGACCTGCAGAGCCTCGAGACTGCCCAGAAATCCTGCGATTGATTAAAGTAAGTCTCTCTGTCTCTCTCTCCTTATTACACGACCTTCATGGCATCAGTGTAGGGCTGAAAGAGAATAAGGGTGGCATAGTCTGTGTTTGAATCCTGGCTCTGCTTAATATGACCTCTCTACATAACCTAGAAGTTACTTAAGCTCTCTAATCTTTATTTTCCACATCTAAAATCAAGATTAATATTTATCTCAAGAGATCATTATAATCATTCAATAACGTAAAATGGTTACATGTAAATTGCTTGGTATATCTATTAGGGGGCTCAAAAAGTCATGGGGTAATCAATTGATGGAAATTTTAGGGACTGAATATGTAGTCTCTTCCAGGGAAATTTTAGCTTTAAAAGAGGATCTTAGAGAAAAGAAAGACTTACCTCAAGTGAATGACCTGCCAATGATAGAATTTCAGGTATTAATGACTCAGATCTTGGAGTGGAGAATCTTATTATTTCTCAGAGCACACCTACTTGTAGAAACTGATTATTTACTACTCAGAAAACAATATTCACACACAACAAAATTTTCTGTACAATTTCAGACAGTTTCTTGATTTCTGAAGCCCATTCACAGACAGCTCCAAGGAGTTCTGGAGCTAGGTTAAACATTTCTCATTTAAATATTTATTTTAATGGATTCCCTGGAGATCATTCCAGTTCAGTAAAGGGGACAAGCAATCTAATTGCCATACTTACTATGCTAAAGTTCTATGACACTGGAAGCAATCATTTACGTGATGCACAACCTAAACAATTCCATATAAAGACCTATATATTAATAAAAGCAGTAGTCTAGATTCTTATAGAGTAAATATGTGGCTGGAACAAGGCACAGATTATAGATATAGTTTTATAAGGAAAATGTTTCCATATGCTCACCAATATATCTAAAAATTGTCTAAATCAGGCCAAGTTTGTATTCTCTTTTCTTGCAAAATGTGTTTTAATGCCCCAAATAAAATACCCATAGTTTTCTAGTGAAATTCATACGTTGAAGTGATGCTAGGCCCGGTTATAGATCTGTAAGAACTGGGTTATCTATCTTTCTATGGCTTCTATACTATTCCATTTCCACAAGTTCTCACCTCATTTCTCTAACTGGCATTAATCTACATGATTAGATCATCAATCAAAATACTATACCCAACAGATTATTAATAGTTATTCCAGATCCACATCTTTCAAGTGGTAGAAATAATTTTAAGGATTTTTTTTTAGTTCTAGTATATGACATCTGGTTGGCAATTATGAAATTTATTATTAAATGACAATGAATCTCTCTAATTGGACAAATGTACCCTTCTCAGCTCTCTAAACAATGTCCATTGCCATAACCAAGGGAAAAATATATCACTAGACACCCCTATTTCAATAAACTTTTACCTGTGGAGTTCCTGACCACATTTACTTTTTAATTTGTCACATGTACCTGAAAATACACCATAAGTTTCTTGGGAGTAATTTTAGTGATTATTCATTGTAGAATAATAATAGAATAGCTAAAGTACTTACTGTGCTTCACAGACTTGTACGTAGTGATTAATTAGTTTTGAGTTTTATGTTCTTCTCAATAATATATGTCCATTTATCCTAACTCTGGTTCATGGCTAAGTTTGCAAAACATTTTCTCTTTGCAGAGGGACTTATTAGTTTGCCATCATAGTAATACCTTAGCTGAATATATTCCAGGTTTTATTTACTGTCCTGGCACTAAAGTTCTTCTGTATCCTCTATATGCACTAATTTTATACTATTATCAATCACCACATCACAGCATTATTGGGGGATCTAGTCATTTCATAGATAGGCAGCCATAAATTCATGCTTACCAGACTTGCCATCTCAAGTCTTTTATTGTGGTGGTTCTCAAAGTGTGGTTTTGGAACATTGGTGAGCCACAGACAAGAGATGGGTAGTATTAATATTTGATTTTTGTTCATTGTACAAACATTAAATGAATATTAGGGGAAGGCCATTTACTAAGTACTATAAAAGATATAAAGATTATTGAATTATAGTCTCTGCACTTTAAGGAGCTTGCAGTGTCTTAGGAGAGGTATGGACTTAAATAATTATTGCCCTAACTGCCCAATCCATTCTCTACACAGCAACCAAAATGTTTAAAATTCCACTGGGTTTCTTGTTGCATTGAGAATGAAATCTACACTTCTTACCAAGGCTCTACATAACATGGCCCTTGCTGTCCTCCTTAAGTATTTTAAAGCTTTTTTTCTATTATTAATTCAATGTAATACTAGTCAAAATCCCCAAATTTTCACATGGAGAAATGAAAGAATTCTAAAAAGAGGAGTAATGAGAGGAAATGATCTATACCACATACCGTAAAACTTTAAATAATTCAAATACTATGGTAACTAGTTCAGAGATAGTTCAATGGGACAGAATGGAGAGTTCAGAACTTATCTTAAATATGAAGTTAGCCCTCTGAATCCATGGGTTCCACATCTGTGGGTTCAACCAATTGAGGATCAAAAATATTTGAAAATAATTGCATCTGTACTGAACATGTATATGCTTTTTGCTTTGTTATTATTCCATAAACAACACAGTATAGCAACTATTTACATAATATTTGCATTGTATTAACTATTATAAGTTATAAGCAACCTAGAGATGATTTAAAGTATATAGGAGGATGTGCATATGTTATACACAAATATGACATGATTTTATATCAAGGACTTGAGCATCATCAGATTTTGGTATCCATTGTGTGAGAGGGTGCCCTGGAACCAATCTCCCACAGATATCAAGGGATGACTGTATATGAGAATGTACCATATGATAAAAGGGACATTTCAAGTCAGTGAATAAAAGATGACTTATTCAATAAATGGTGTTGGGACAACTGAGAAAAAATGTAAAGGTGAAATTCCACCTCACTTTTTATATCAAAAAATCCAAATAAATCAATTATTAATATTAAGAATTTAAGAGAAGAATAAGAGTGAAATTTTTATAACGTTTCCAAGCATAAGATACAAATCATGAATAACTAATTTGAACATGTAAAAAATGATAACAGTAAAAAGCCACATTAAAAAAGTCTAAAGTTAAACTGGCAAAAACATCTCACAGGCAAACACACGATATACTTTTCTGTAAAGTCTATGAGTTCATAATACATAAACTTTGTGACATTGACTGTGAATGTTCAGAAACCTTTTTTGCTTTACTTCACAGTTTCTTGTTGTATTCAAGGCTAGTAACTTGGATAACTGATCTTCATATGAGTTAGTTATCAACATAGTTAACCCCCTCTTTCTATTGCAATGCTGTTTCAGATTTTAAGTTTCCAGACAACTGGGATTAAGTCTGACTCACTTTTAACACTACCCAGGACATCATATGTCAATTAAAATTCAATAAAAATTTCATGATGATTATCATCTTAAGAATTGAAGGTTTTCTCTAATTTGACAGGAATTGGCTGCCTGTGAAGACATGCTAGATGAAGTGACATTAACAGCAACTGGTAAGATGTTTTGTGGTGTTTTCAGAGCAAGCAAAAGAAACACACAGTACTACTTGTACTTAGATATGTGGAAGCTGCTGTATTTGGTACATAAAGATTATGTCATTAATAGTATCTACATGTACAGGACATCAACTTGATAGTTTTGTCAGTGTTCCACTATTTTATATTTTCCCTGTTTTTTAGTATTAAATTGACATTTGACAGCTCTTACAACTTTACAACTATAATAGACTTGAACTGATTTTCAGAATGTAGAATGAAAAGTGTTATTGATCAAAAAAGTATAATTTAACATCCAGTATGTTGGTATTAGCTTGATAGAATGGAGTGGATAAAATGATTTAAAATATTTTTGAAGCATTCAGTACATTTTGATAGCCAGTAATATTAATGGGTAGGCTAGTGATTTATGATGAATTAGAACTTTTTAGGCAGTAAATATAAAAACTTAATTAAAAAGATCATTAGGGTTTATAAAATTACAAATGGCAAGGACTAGATAAAAAGAGTTTTTACTGAGACCTAGAAGAGTATGATGAAGGATAAGTCCTTGAAGATGAAGAACGTATGTAATAAACTGAGAACATTCTACCAAAGAGATAAATGGCTTCACTATAATACTGGGGTACAGATTCAGAAGGAAGTTAGGATGTTTTGTGGTCTTTTGTGCCTAACAAACCAATCTTAGTGCCTAGGTCAGAAATAGAACCTTGAGCTGGATGGATCATGGATAAGTCATCACATGTGACAATTGTTATGTCCTTATATTTGATAATTAACACCATCAGAATGTTAACTAAATAGTAAATTTTGTGTCTAAAGGAAATCGTAAGAAATACAAAGTTGAAAGCAATGGATATTCTATGAAAGCAATACTCAAACTAAAACAGTATTATTGGTTGAGCATCCCTAATCTGAAAACCCAAAATCCAAAATGCTCCCAAATCCAGAACTTTTAGAGAGGTGACATGACACCCAAAAGGAAATGCTCATTGGAGCATTTTGGATTTGGGATTAGGGATGCTTAATCAGTAAATATATAATGCAGATATTAAAAATGCACCCTCCCCCCCCCCAAATTCAAAATCCAAAACACTTTTGGTTCCAGGCATTTCGGATAGGGGATATGCAACCTATATTATGTTGAGATAAAGCCCTTACATTATCTCATTGTAGTTAGAAAAATACTGCTCAGGATAATGTGTAACAATTAACTTTAAACAACAAGAATCAAAACAACAAGCAACAAAATACTTTGTATACCCCAACTTCCCACCTTTGCATTTCAGTATATCTTTGAATTGAAGTAATGTCATAATAACTGTCCTGTTTTTGTCTTTAAAAGTCCTTGTATGCATGTATAGAGTCAGATTAGAAACTTTCTTTACTCTTACATATTACTGTAAACTTTAAAAAATGTGGTTAAATAAACATATCATTTTAACCATTCGCAAGTGTATAACTTGGTGACATTAAATGCATTCATTGTTGTACAACCATTACCACTATCCATCTCCAGAACTTTCATTATCCCAAACTGAAACTCTGTAGCCACTAAACAATAACTCTCCGTTGCTATCCCCCCTATCCCCAGGCTCTGGTAGCCACTATATTTTCTGTCTGTATGAATTTGCCTATTCTAGATACCTCATATGACTGGAAACATATAATATTTTTTCCTGTGTGTCAGCTTATTTTACTTAGTATGTTTTCAGGATTCATCTAAGTTGCAGCCTGTATCTGAATTTCATTCCTTTTTAAGGTTAACATTCTATTGTATGTATATAACACATTTTGCTTATCCATTCATCCATCAATTGGACATTTGGGTTATTTTTACTTTTTGACTATTGTGAATGATGCTGCTGTAAAACACTGGTGTACACGTATCTGTCTAAGTTCCTGCTTTCATTCTTTTGGGCACATACCTAGAAGTGGAATTGCTGGATCATATAGTAATTTTATGTTTATTTTTTTGAGGGCTCTCCATGGTTTCTACAGCAGCTGGACCATTTTACATTCCCACCAGCAATGTACAAGGGTTCTGATTTTGCCACATTCTCACCAACACTTTTTTTTTTTTATAATACCCATCCTAATGTGTGTGAAGTGGTATCTCACTGTGGTTTTGATGTGCATTGCACTAATGATTAGTGAATGTTGAGCACCTTTTCACATGCTCATTGCCCTTTGTATAACCTTCTTTGAGAAGCATTTATTTATGATCTTTGCCCATTTTTGAACTGTGTTATTTGTCATTGAGTTGTAGTTCTTTATATATTCTGGATATTAATGTCTTATCATATATGGTTTCCAAATATTTTCCCCCCATTCCATGGGTTGTTTTCTTACTGTCTTCATAGTGTCCTTTCATGCACATGGGCTGCCATTCTTTGTTTTTTTTTTTTCCTTTTTTAAAAATAATTTTTCCTTTTATTTCCTCATATTATGGGGGTACAAATATTGTTAGGGTTACATATATGGCCCCTGCCACCTCTCCCCCACCCCGCCATGCCAGAGCTTCAAGTGTGTCCAACCCTCAGGTGGTGTGCGCCACATCCATTATGTAGGTATACACCCTTCCCTTCTTCCCTCATCCCACCTGCCCACCTCCAGATAACAGAGGTTTTTTTAAACATTTTGGTTACATTGTATATCTTTGCCTCTCCCTAAAAAGGGTTAGAGGTAATCCCTTCTCCCCCACAATTATCACCACATCCCTCAGCTGTGAGTCTCCCCTCCTGAATCCCTGGTGAACACTATCACTATTTGAGCACCATAGTTTTAATCAGTCAGTACCAATTTGATGGCGAGTAGATGTGTAGCCCATTTTCCAGATCTTGTGTCACCTCGCTTTGTATAACAGGCTTAAGCTTAATCCAGGATAGCATAAACGGTGTTAGCTCACTGTCGTTTCTTAGAATTGAGTAGTATTCCATTGTGAGCATACACCACATTTTAGTTATCCACTCATGAATTGATAGGCACTTGGGTAGTTTCCATGACTGTGCAATAGTGAATTGTGCTTCCATAAACATTCAGGTTCAGATGTCTTTATAATAGAATGTCTTATGCTCTTTTGGGTAGATGCCCAACAATACTATTGCTGGGTCGAATGATAATTCTATTTCTAGCTGTTTGAGGTATCTCCACATTCTTTTCCACAGAGGCTGCACTAATTTGCAGTCCCACCAGCAGAGTAAGAGTATTCCTGTCTCTCCACATCCTCGCCAGCATTTGTTGTTTTGGGATTTCTTGTTACAGGCCATTCTCACTGGGGTTAGGTGGTATCTCATTGTGGTTTTGATTTGCATTTCTCTGATGATTAGAGATGTTGAACATTTTTTATATGTTTGCAGGCCATTATTCTGTCTTCTCTGGAGAAGTTTCTATTCATTTCCATTGCCCAATTCTTGATGGGGTTGTTTTGTTTTTTCTTGTTAATTCTTTAAATTCTATATAGATTCTTGTTATTAGACCTTTATCAGAAGTGTAGAGAGCGAATATTTTCTCCCATTATGTGGGTTGTCTATTTTCTCTAATGATAGATTCCTTGGCTGTGCAGAAACTTTTTAATTTGATCAGATCCCATTTGTTTATTTTTGATGCAGCAGTGATTGCCTTGGGAGTCTTCCTCAAAAATTCTTTGCCTAGGCCAATATATGATAGGGTTTTCCCAACATCTTCTTCTAGGATTCTTAAGGTTTCATGCCTTAGGTTTAAGTTTCTTATCCATCTTGAATGAATTTTTGTGAGAGGTGAGAGGTTGGGGTTCCGACTCACTCTTCTGCATGTTGATAACCACTTTTTCGAGGACCATTTATTGAAGAGAGAATCTTTTCCCCAATGTATATTTTTGTTTGCTTTATCAAAGATTAGGTTACCGTATGCTGATGGTTTAATCTCTGGTATCTCAGTTCTATTCCAGACATCGATGATTCTGTTCTTGTGCCAGTGCCAGGCTGATTTAACTATAATTGCTTTATAGTATAGCTTGAAGTCAGGAAGACTGATGCCTCGCAGTTTGCTCTTTTTACTTAAGATTGCTTTGGGTATACATGGTTTTCTCTGGTTTCATACAAAGTGAAGAATTATTTTTTGTAGATCTGTGAAGAAGGCTGGTGGTATTTTGCTGGGGATTGCATTGATTCTGTAGATCACCATAGGTAATATTGACATTTTAATGATATTGATTCTACTAATCCATGAACAAGGTAGATTTTCCATCTGTTTAAATCATCTGCAATTTCTGTTTTTAGTGTTTTGTAGTTCTCCTTGTATAAATCTTTCGTATCTCTCATTAAGTATACTCCTGGATATTTCATTTTCTTTGGGGCTATAGTAAAGGGTATTGCAGTTTTGATTTGAGTTTCTGCTTGATGATTCTTGGCATATATGAATTCTTCTGATTTGTGTATATTGATTTTATAACCTGACACTTTACCAAATTCATTTATCAAATCTAGGAGTCTCTTGGATGAAACCATGGGGTTTGCTAGGTATAATATATCATCAGTGAAGAGCGAGAGTTTGATCTCATCTTCCCCCACTTGGATACCCTTAATACCCCTCTCTTGCCTGATTGCTATAGGTAGGCCTTCGATCACTATGTAGAATAGGAGAGGAGATAGTGGGCATCCTTCTCTAGTTCTGGTTTGAAGAGGGAATGATTTCAATTTTTCCCCCTTTAGTATGGTATTAGCAGTGGGTTTGTCATATATGGATGTGATAAATTTAAGGTAAGGGCCGTCTATGCCTATTTTGTTAAGAGTTTTTATCATAAAGGTATGCTGGACTTTGTCAAATGCTTTTCCTGGATCTATTGACAGACTCATATGGTCTTTGTTCTTGACTTTATTTATGAAGTGAATTGCATTTATAGAGTTGCGTATGTTGAACCAGCCTTGCATCCCTGGAATAAAACCCATCTGGTCATGGTGAATTATTTTTTTGATGTGCTGCTGAATTTATTTGCTAAAATTTTATTTGAGATTTTT